AGTCATATCTTCAATATGAAGATAAAAAATTTAGTTCCTAACCTGAATCATTAACCAGAATATGCACGTTATTTAAATGAACTCTCAGTTTAGGTAAAAGTTTAAGATCAAAAACCACTTAATAAAAATACTACATGGGAGACACATTATATGCCATGCCTTAATTCACAAGACAATTAGAGAGGTAATCACAGCTATATAAACAATTTTTTCTAGCTAAACAAATAAGCAAATAAGCTTTCCTTAAGTGAGGGGGAAGGTGGAAGGATAACCCCAAAAATTAAATGTTAAGCTCTAGACAATGCCTATGTGTGTGCTCTAAACGTTCCTTTTTCTGTTTGGTGTCTGGAATTCAGTACTGACTTTCTCACAGGAATAGCATTACATGCTAGCTTCTAGGCAAATCCACAACAGACTGTTTTACAGATAACACAGCAGGAACATTGACGGTCAATGTAATCTACTCAGCATCAAGTGGCCTGGGCTGTAGGTGGTGGGAGCTCCAGGAGCTCCAGAGAAGCGTGGCTGTGGCAGAGAACTATTGTGAAATTATTCAAAGGTGGGGGGGGGGCCACAAAGCCAAGTGGATCCAGCAGCCAATATGGATGTTTGGGGGCTATTTATGATTTAAGAACCACTTACACTAAAGAATTCCCTCAAAGTAATCTCAGTTCAATGTAACTATAATATGTTTAGAATTTGTATACATAAATCAACACAATTCAACAAATATATACATATTAAAAACTTTCAAAGTTGTACTGAAAGAAATAAATAATTCAAACACGAGACATATTGTATAAGCAATACGTCCCAAGATGGAAATATATTTTTCCAAATACAAACAAATCAAATGAAACTAAATCTAACTCCTCAAATTATATTTTAGCACAACAAAAACTATTCTATAATTTCTTTAAACAAATTAATAAGCACACACAGTAAAAAGCGACTTCAATGCAAATAGAGATTAGAACATATTATTAAACAATAAACATCAAAACTGTGTGATTCTGGTTCAAAAGTGAAAACCCAGAGTATTGGAACAACAGGAAGGCCAACAAATAGATATAATGCTGCATGTATTTTCATTTTAGATAAAGCAAGCTTCTTCAAAAGGGAGGTGGGTATACATGGGGAAAGGTTATAATAAATGGTATACAGTATGGGGAAGAAAATAAATTGGGGCTATACTTTATAAACCCATGAACCCCAGGTGTATTAAACAAATATTTCAAAAAAAATTCTGAAAAATAAATCAGGAGGTAAATAAAAACAAATGTTGACTCGTTATATGGCAGAGTTTAAAATTACCAAAAAAACACAAAGAACAGATTAAAGCACATGAAACGTTGATTTTAAATTAACAAAATTACATTTCAATAAAAAACTCTACAAGAGTAACAAAACAATCAACTATGAGAAAGTAGTTACAAGGAGTTTTAATGTTATATGGAGTATACACTCAATCAGGGGAATACACGTTTTACTTCCCACGATTCTGGGAGGCAATAGTGACCTTGTTCTACTCGTGTATTAATAATGATTTTAAAAACCAGTACAAGCCTCTTATAAAAATCCTGTAACAATAATCAAAGTGATTATAACAAGGTTATTTCCTTCTGACCTAACCGAAGGAGATGCAGCCAGTACATGGATCTCTGCTGTGTATGTTCCTCTGTCCCTGGGAAAAGAAGACACTGTCTCTCATCATAACCCTGTACCAGCCTGTACCAGCTTCTGCTGCCTGGAGGAACAGCAGCAGGACCTCTATTTGAGGTTCCCACAGAGAACAGACAGGTGATATGACAACAGTCTAGACTCCATGTACAGAATTCACTGAAGGGGTTGTCAGTGAATCGTGTTTTAACTGTGTATCTTCCCATGACTCATGTTGTCAGCACTAGGGACTGTGAGTTCCCAAGCAGAAACCGCCACTGAAGAGCTCTACATGGTGACCTTTTGTCTGCCAATCAATTATGGTCACTTTCTGGGCTGAAGGCAGAGACAGTCTCCCACCATGACTACTACTGCTGCCTGGAAATAACCTGCCACCCCATTCTACATTGCCAGAGCCCTTGTCCCACTGCAATAAAGCAGGAAACGCTGCGTTGGTAATAAACACCAAGACATCACTGCCTGCTCACTGCTCAGGCTGATCATCTGCAACCGCTGACCTCTGATTATCCTGGCCAGCTCCAGGGTACTCAGATGTTTTCCCTGCTCAACTTACCTTTAGAAAGTTGAAAAATACTAAGAGTGAAAAGCAGATGGAGAGATGAATGGGTAGGTGGATGGGTATCTGGGTTGGTGCTCCATCAGCTGTTATTACAGCATCTTTGATGGACATTACGCACCTCATCCAAAAGCATAATGTCCCTGGTCCATGCTAGGTCTCCTTCATTTCTGAGGTACCTTCCTGCAACTGACTTCTGTTTACAAACTTGGCTAACCCTGAATAAACTACATGCTTTCCAGCCCCCATCTGTCCAATTCCTATGTTACAACAGCCACAATTACATAGTATGCAACCATTAAAAACTATAATTATAAAGACTACGTATAACATAGAAAAACGGGCTTAGATATGTCCATGTCTCTCTTTCCCTCATTCTTACATAGTTCAGCCCAAAAACTATTAGGTAGGCAAGAGCAAAGTAGGCTTCAGCATGAGAGTGGAGGCAAATGGCATGGGCTGAGAAAAGTTTCTGTACTCTGGAAGCGTAAGGGCAGAGACAGCCAAGCATCACCATGCTCATGGTCTGAGCAAGAAGAGGAGAGTCCTTGTGTGAGGAGGCGGCAGGAATAACAGTATATGGGTTACATAATGGAAGCCAGGTTCATCACTGTCAGAAAAAGGAGCCAGGCATAAGTGAGAAAACTACAATTAACCCTATGGTATTGGGTTGGGATTAAAAGTATTGGTGTATTGGTATAAACACCTGGTTAGCAATATAGATACTAAACTACAGATATTTCAAAATACCAATATAAATAGATATAGAAGTACAGTTGTAAAGATTGTACACACACACACACACACACACACACACACACACACACATTTTGTTTTCCTAGCTCTGTTCACAGAAATGATATGAAAGCAGTGACACCCCAGTAGCAATGAACACACCTGGTTGCTAAACACTATTCTGTACTAAAAGGAACAAGGGCTCCTTGGAGAATTGGTTAGTTTCAGGAAAGTACAAGATAAGTCCGGAATATTTTGTGTCAGAAAGTAAAGAAGTGCTTACAGAACAATGAGGACAAGTGAAAGGACATGAAAGCCAGCTTGAAGGAACTCACAGTGGCCAAATCTAGGACAATTTGATATTGAAATAAATAATGATAAAAAAGACCAAAATCTAATAAATAAAATCACAAGCTGTGTGGCCCTTTAAACAGATAAATGGCAAGAAGGAAAAGTTCTTCCTTACAACGAAAATCCAACTAATGTTAGAAAAAATGAATTTTTAAAATCACCATTTGGCAACCATCAGAATAATAATTCAGTCAAAAACAAACAAACAAACACAATGGATTCCAAAACCAGCAGGTGAAAGTGGTAATATTCCATAATGGAATGGAATATGTATGATATAAAAGTACCTCCAATCTCAAAGAACTTTCCCACATACTTATAAGTAACAAAGAAGGAAAGAGTAACTCCACAGTAGGGAGGCCTGGCAAGCCCCACCTTAGTTGAATGATCAAAGTGAACATCTCAGTCATGAAACAAATGGAAATCATGTAATGAAATATGAGGAAAACAGCATCATTTCTCTGATATTCCTGGCAAAAATGCATATTAGTCTAATAATAAGGAAACACAGTCCATTCTCACACATCTATACAGAACTACCCAAGACTGTGTAATTATGAAGAAAAGAGGTTTACTGACTCCCAGTTCCACCGATTTACCAGGAAGCATGACTGGGAGGCCTCAGGAAACTTACAGTCATGGCAGAAGGCAAAAGAGAAGCAAGGCATGTCTTCTCATGGCGACAGGAAAGGAGGTAGCAGAGATATGCCACACACTTTAAAATCATCAGATCTCATGAGAACTCACTCACTATCATGAGAACAGCATGGGGGAAATCCGCCCCCATGATCCAATCACCTCCACCAGGTCCCTCCTCCAACACTGGGAATTACAATTCAACATGAGATTTGGGTGGGGACACAGATTCATACCATATCAACAGCCAAATGCTACATTTATGTAGAGAGACGTTCTACAACAGATCTGACCTGCTGTTTTCAAAACTGCCAAAGTCATGAAAGTCTAGGAAAGACCAAGGAACTGTTCCAGACTGAGAGAGAACAGACAGCCGTGGCAACCAGATGCCATACAGGAAATTGGACTAAATATGGGACCCACAAGGAACACTGTTGAGACAAATGGCAAGACTTGATTAAGGTCTGAGGATCCGATGGCAGAAATGTATAGGTGTTAGTGTTCTAACGTAGATGTCACTGTTAAAGGAAATACATAATGAAGTATTCAAGGATAGTCTTTCCAACAATTTTGAAATTAAAAAGTTTGTGGTACTATTCTTGCAACTTTTCTATGATATTGAAGCTATTTCAAAATGAAAAAAGACATGATACCAAATCCTGTATGTATATTACAATTATAACTATCTATTAAGAGGAATATAAATAACACAAATGAAATAATTAAAAGAAACCATTATGTTAAGGTTTTGCATTTGAGGGATATTATTTAACTTAAAAAGTTCCTTTCATGTCTTAGTTCCATAACAACAACTTTTAAGATAATTCTATATATGTTTACACTTAATTAAACAAGGCCATGGGCATTATAAAGAAGCCCTCCAGCCAAACAGAAGAGAAACAGCCTATTGAAGCAAACAGTCTCACCCTTTTTATTCCTAATCAGTAATTAATTCTAAGATGCACATGTTCCCTCACTGCCTAGCCAACTTGTTTTCTCACAACAATACATACAAAGGACTCGGAAAATTTAAACCAGATACCTTGATTTAGATGTGTGGCCTCCATGATCTGAACACCATTCACAGAGCACTGGGACCCACTCAGGGGTATAAGAGTCACTGTCCCCCCAATATTTTCAAAGATGCAATGCTCACTCTCCAAGTCAAGGCCATGAAGAACTAAAATGGAAAAACAAAGTAGAAAGAATTTTTCCCCCTTTTGTATCTACGGCAATGATTCCCAGCTATTTATCTATCAATTGATTTAGTTTCCTTTTGAATATCCTTCTTTTTCCACATAAATATTGTGCAGTGAATATTTATGTTTAGTGAGAAAACCGAACTTCAGGAGCTCATGACATTCACTGATAGGACTGGAGGATCCTTAGAATGTTCCTCAAGGGGTCTGGACATCACCTATATAAGAAAATCAGTTCTGGGATGTTAACTCATTTCATCTTTGGGAAGAAAACAGTTGAGTAACTTGTTTTAACTGAATTCCATGGAACTGCCCTGTTGGATACTGAATAAGTTTCCTCCATCAGCCACCCAGAGGCCACAGAAAATAGAAGAAGCAAAAGTGCTCCATGGGTCAAGGACTTACTGAGACCTCTGCACACTGACCACTGCACTACAGCAGCAGAAACCCAAAGTGAACTTGGCATGACATGAATCTTGAACAGCCCAAGAGGTCTTCAGAAGCCATACTGAGATGCCTGTTGCCTGAGCCTGAGTCAATTCTGAGACCTCTCAGGACATGCAGCTGCGAAAATTTATCTATTCATGTATAACACTCCTGGATTCTTGTTTGAAGAATGGTCAAACACAGATAGGAACACCTGTCAAATAAACCTACATGGTTTTAGGCACAGTTCTTGACCAGCATCTTGGGAGTACAAGCCAACTAGTTTCCGCTGTCTACATATTTGTCCTACTGATCTCCGATCACAGAAAACATGTGTTCTTACCACCTATCATCATTTATAGCTACCCCAAAGATCAAACACATAATTTAACAATTAGAAGAAGAGGCCTGATGCCTAGTTCTACTCAAAAACAGTTGAATCTGGAACTTCTAGAAAATAGTTTTTATCTCTCACAGTCTCACAGTAAATAGTAAATATTATGTTGGTGCAAAAGTAATAGTGGTTTTTGCCATTACTTTTGCACCAACCTAATACATGTAGGAATATGTTAGAATTGGCTTGATTTTTTGGCTTATGCTTGGTGAGAAAGCAGGTTCACTGCCAGCAATTCTAAAAGCAGCTGAGACAATATAATTCTTACCCTGCCGGTCCCCACCTTGCCACATACATATACACACCCACCACCACCACCACCAATTGCCCACGTTATGCTCTTAAAGCTGGAAGGACCTCATCTGTGTAGGCTAAGTTACTAATTATCTGTGTGTCTTGTGAAGACTTTTGGGAAACCCAAAAAGCCACGCCTCCACATGTGTGTATGCTGAGTTTTCTCCTATTTTCTGCTGTCATCTTTGGGAAGATAAGTGTCTATATCTTTTATCTGTGTCTATTGATATATCTCCATCAATCACTGTTCCATTGTGAGACAATGTAGAGTGATTTAAGTAACTGTGTTCCTCAAAGACCTAACAAGGTATGGAATGTATGTAGGGTGGAGGAAAGGGTTCATTGGTGCATTTTATTCACCAAATTAGTTGTTCCATATAATTCATTTGAGTTGTATTCTAAATGACAGAAATATATATATATATATACTGACCAACACTGTACTTGAAAAATAATTTAATTTTCTATAATTACTTCAATGTCAGTCATTCAAAAAGATTCTACTTTGAATATAAACTTAAGAAATCACAGGGAAGAGATCACTGATAATATGCTCACCAATATCTTGCTCCGTGGAAGCATCTTCTCTACCAACATATGTCTGACCTTCCTGGGAAGAAAAGCCAAGCAAAATGTATTAGTAAGAAGAGGAGAAATAGCTTGTTTCTTCATTTTTCATTTCAACCCAAACAACATAGAGGCCAATGGGATGAACAATGTCCTGGCAGGCCACAGCTTCAGTGCAATGAAAGTGCCCTGGGGTTCTGTAAAAACAGCCCGGGTTGTCTGGAAAGGTTTAACGTACGGCAATTGTGAGACCCTGCTTTGGCAGCATTGACGCTTCGCTTGTGACAGGAATGTCATTAATGTTCCTGATCCTTTCTGGGAAGGTTCTCCTCCAGTGGCCAAGAGTTTCTTTGTGTCTAAAGATACAGCTTATGGCCCAGGCGGGGTGGCTCATGCCTGTAATCCCAGCAATTTGGGAGGCCAAGGTGGGCAGATCATAAGGTCAAGAGACTGAGACCATACTGGCCAACATGGTAAAACGCTGTCTCTACTAAAAATACAAAAACTAGCTGGGCGTGGTGGCATGCGTAGTCCCAGCTACTTAGGAGGCTGAGGCAGGAGAATCGCTTGAAACCGGGAAGCAGAGGTTGCAGTGAGCCGAGATGGCACCACCGCACTCCAGTCTGGTGACAAGAGTGAGACTCAATTAAAAAAAAAAAAAAGATACAGTTTATGGAAGTCTGAAAAACACAAGTGCAGTAGCGTTCTCATTTTAAGTTATGGGTCAGAGAGAGGACACTAAAGTCAAGGTCACAGAGCCAACCATTAATACTTACGTGGAATTCTGTACTCCCAAGATGAACTGCCTGCTTAGAACCAAGCCCAATAATGAAGGTGAGACGCACAATTTTATAATTACCACCAGGGACCAGAAAACCACACACACAACAAAATCCCCCCAGTTCTAGCTGTTTGCAACTTTTCTCCTTCAGTCTGTGTGCCTTTTTGTTCCTTACCTCTGCTTACTAATCCTACAGAAGAGAAAGCAAATTAGTGGCTCATCATTTAACTTTAAATAACAAGGTAACATTAAATACCAAAGAATCCTAATGAGCTGCTGAAAATCCCCAAATGGCTCAAGGATTTGTGGTATATTCTTTTTTTTTTTTTGAGACAGAGTCTTGCTCTATCACCCAGGCTGGAGTGCAATGGGACTCAGCTCACTGCAACCTCCACCTCCCGGGTTCAAGCAATTCTCCTGCCTCAGCCTCCCAAGTAGCTGGAATTACAGGTGTGTGCCACCACGCCAGGCTAATCTGTGTATTTTTAGTAGAGGCAGGGTTTCACCATGCTGGCCAGGCTGGTCGTGAACTTCTGACCTCAAGATCTGCCTAGCTTGGCCTCCCAAAGTGTTGGAATTTCAGGCATGAGCCACTGTGCCTGGCCTTTTGTGTATTCTTTAACTTAGTTGTGTTCATGGTCACAGAATATTATAATAAACCTAGTTAGTGTCTAATAGAAAAACTGAAAACAAAATTAGAGTGTTCCACTTAATCAGTTTCTACCTTTAAGTGATATAAGATGATTCCAGTGCTCAAAAGGTCATCATCAATGCCAATCAAATGAGGCAGTTCAGAATCCAAAACAACTCCTATACCTTCTTTCCTGAGGGCTAGGGTTTGTTCCTGAAATTAAGAGGAAAGAAAAAGAAAAGGTTACTTTGGGAAATGAGAACTTCATATTAGGTGTTCTTTAGATTGTCAGAATGGGCAATATTTTATTTCTCATTTAAAAAGCTGCAAGAAAAATAGACCTTAAACTTCATGTTGAAATCCTGGCAGGTAGTAAGCAAAGTGAACTTGAAACATATAAAAGGCTCAATATAAAATGAATTAAACTCATTGCCTGATATATAACCTCTTCAAAGCCAATCTTCCTGCAGAAATGTTCTAGGAACACCCAAACTACAAAGTAATCTTTCTTCCTCTTCAGAGCTTTTATGCCATTTAATATCAAGATGTCACCTTAGTTGATGGCTTTTCTCTCCACTCACATGGTTGAACTGTGTATGGTCCTGAAAAGATGCCTTCCTGTGCGTTAGCTACCCTGCACCAGAGGAACCTGGCCCTCTGCCTCCTGAGACATCAACTTCTCCTATCCACTGGATCATTCCCTGCTAAATATTAATACAAATCTGCTGTTGACCTCCCATTCCAAACCCCCACCTCGTCTTTTGGTCTTGCATCTCCTAGCTACCACCAATTTATCTGTGCCCTTTAGAGAAAACTATCTTCGAAAAGTTTCCTATAGCTACAGTTTTCCAATTCCTTCCCTCTCGCTCTTACTTCAACTCGCTCTATGAAGACTATTGTCTTTGGGACTCTACTAACACCGACTTTCCTGATGGTCTCCTTCTGCCTCTTGTCTTTACCTGCCATCTATATGCCAATGACTCTCAAATTTCATCTCCAGGACAGATGTCTCCCTTAACTCTCAAATTTCATCTCCAGGGCAGACGTCTCCCTTAAGTCCGATACTCACATAGATACCATATATGTGAGTCTACCGTGTGTGTGTGTGTGTGTGTGTGTATGCGCGCGTGTGTATATATACATACACACACATATATCAACCCAACTCCGTTTATCTATGGAGATGCCAAACAGGCAGCCCAAATTTAATACATTAAAAACAAAATAAAGCAAAAATCTTTGATTCTCTCTGCTGCCCAAGCCTGCAGACTATCCTGTCTCAGTAAATGCCAGCCTTTCCTGTTTGGCCTAAATAACCATGCTTATACATTGCTCCTTTCTTTCTCTAAACTCTACATATGTAGTATTAACTCTACCTTCAAAATATGCCCAGAATCTGGTAACATCAAACCACCTGCCACACTGGCCTCTGGCCCAAACCATCATTGTCTTTCACCCAGGTTACTGCGATAATCCAGGCCACCACTCATGTCTCCCGTGATATACGCTCAACTCAGCAGCCCGAGAGCGGTTAGGGCAGGTCACTCCTCTGCTCAGGTCCTTTAAATAGACTCCCATTTCAGCGAGACAAAAGCCAAAGTCTTTATGATGTTCTACAAATTCTACCTGATCTCATCCCATGCTCACGTGCTGTCATCTCCTGCCGCTCTCCCACTTGCTCACACCTCTCCAGGGATATAGGCACCTTGCTGCTCTTCAAACTTGCCAGCCTGCCCCATCTCAAGGAGGCACTCCTTCTGCTTTTGTGGTTGCTGTTTCCTCTGACACTGCTCTTCCTTCTCTTCCCCTACAGCAGGGTTTCTCGACTGCGGCACAATTGTCATTTCAGACTAGATAATTCTTCATTCTTATGCACAGTAGGATAGTTTTTAGCACCCCTGCCTCTACCCAGTAGATGCCAGCAACACACCCGAGGTTCTGACAACCAAAAATGTCTCCAGACATTTGAGAACTATTGTCCTAGTTACATACATAACATGGCCCCCTCCTTCCTTCCTTCAGTTCTCTGCTCAGAAGCCACCTTCCCCATCATCCCATATAAAATAGCAACCACTAATACACACACATGCGTGCGGATGCACACACACACACACACACACACACACACACACACATTTATTGTTTATTACCAGTTGTCTGGCTAGAATGTAACCCAGCACCTAATTTCATGCCTGACACATCAATTAATATTTGCCAGAGGAATGAATGAGTGAGTAGAGGCACAGAGTTCAGTAGAATGCAGGAGGGAAGGTCAGAGGCAGTCCTTGGGAAAGAGAATGGAAGGCCCATGTCTTAACATCAGGCCCGTCTGAACCCATACTAAAGATGTCTAAAGTCAAGCTTCTGGGGAAGTCTGAGGTGGAAAGCAGACAAATTCCAGAAGGTTGAAGGTAAAAATTGCAGTTTTGAGGTTGGGGTGAACCAGGTTCAGACTAGATCATGTACAAGAGCATGACATTGCGCTCCATGACTGTACGAGCAACAGAAAAGCCAGTACCAACCACTAACTGGGGAGGCCTTTGCAGATATTTAAGTTTCAAATGCACACTGAAGACCTAAAGCCATGCGAGGGGGCAGTGAAATGAAATAGAAAAAAAAAAAAAAAAAAAAAAAAAAAAAAAAAAAAAAAAAAAAAAAAAAAAAAGATGGCTCTAAAAAAAATCATAAAAATCACAACGTGAAAGAAAGCAATTTAATTTAACAACCATTAAATAGATATGCAGAGAAAATGACCAATGCATAACTTAGATTCAAGAAAAGGAAATGAAGCGTGTCATTGTTCTTCAATTACTCCTCTTATCAGCCAAGCTCCCATTCCATGGCTCAGAACCTCAGGCTTTGAGGTCGGAGACTTCAGTAACATAAATTTACTATAGCAAGGAACATGCAAATCTCAGCTAAACTGAGCACTCTCCATAAGCCAACCCCTACTCCTACCTCTCAGATATTAGCAGAATTCATGCTTTTCCTCTTGACCATGAAATTCAAGCAGAAATGGGAAGTGATTTTTTTAAAGACATATATTACAGGGGAGAATTTGATCACACAGCTCTATTTCATAAAACGATGTCCTCATGGGAAGGTCTGGTAGCTCTGAACTGTGACCAAACTGCACACACAATCAGTAGCCCCATGGCAATGAATTATTACAGGTCTCTAGGTCCACGTGAAAAGGAAAGTGATCATTCTCATAAGTCCAGAGGCATGCGTATTTTCTTTCTGCACAGAAGTGGACAATAATCCCCCCAAAATACAATATTTTAAACTTTGAGAGCTCCCACTTAAACTAGAGCAATTGCTTTGGACTACATTCCAGTTTAGTTTAATATTCTTTCTTTTTTTAACCATTGAGAAACACTTTTGTTTTCCTTGAAATAAGACTTTGGAAAAACATTGGAAATTCATAGTTTCAGAGCCATTAGGTCAAAAGCCTTACTTGTTCCCACCCATCCCTACCATGTACACACACACTCACACACACACACACACACACACACACTCACACACACACACACACTCACACACTCACATATACTTCCATATATATAATGGGTAAAATCTAAATTAAGAGAAAGTTTTCCAGGATTGCAAGTGGGAAAGGATGAATTTATGATTAATGCTGCCCTAAAGCTCTATAACATTCAAGTTGAATTCAACTACATGATATTATAAAACTGTCACCTCATAAAACTGGAAACAAGGGTTTAAATCATTGCTCAAGTGAAAAAGTAATTTCAGACAAAAATATCTATCACGTATAAAATACTTATTGAGTGGCATCTACTGCTATACATAATTTATGAAACACCTCTTGGATAAGATGGAATATTTAACATAGTATAGTGGGGCATGCCTCCCCCAACTCCAGACACAGGGTCCCAAAGAAATCAAGGTAAAATATGTATACTTCCATATATTTTACATTGAAACAAAAATTTCAGCAACCAGGCTTATTTGGATTTTTAAAAAACCGTATAAACTGACTAAAAGTGTCAAAACATAGCATCAGTTTATTTTATGCGTCATATTCATAACATTTACAAATAATATGCTCCATATGTTTTTCTTCAACTTCCAGGCACCTACTCAGGTGAAATCCCTCTGAATTTAAAACACATGCCCTTTGCTAGGACTGTCACAGAATCACTTCTGCCCCTTCCGGTGGCTCTGGTGATTGCATGCAGGGCTGCCCAGATCCCAGGGGAGAAGACCACAGGAGAACTTGGCTCAAGGCGCAATGCGTTTGTAACTACCGTCGTGGTTTATGAAAGTAAGCAGGGATTCTAGCTCTTTTAATCACCACTACATTCTTAGTGCCCAGCACATGCCTTACAAAACTCAACAACTTTCTTGAATAAATAAGTAAAAACAATACAAAAACTTACCAACAACAAAATCTAATTTTTTTCCCTCTTAGAAAGCCTCCCTGGGATCTAGATCATACTCGGGAAAAACTGGGAAAAGTTTGACAGTGTGTCTGACCCACGTAAATTAAGATCTCTTTAGGAATAAGAATTGTGTGTCTTCACACTGAGTATATTAGGTGAATATAGGTGTGCCAGGCAAACAGTAGTCACTCACTAAGTGCTGATTATTTGATACTATAGGGAGTGATTTCTAAGTTCCACTTTTTTCCTCAACAGATAAGAATGAAATGTCAGAATCTTTTTGTGAAAATTTATGCTACAGAGAATTATATATTTCACGAGCGAGTAGAATTTTGTAGAGTTGACTCACATCATAAAGTGCATGTAATTTCTGCAACCCTGACTACAGACACAGCAGATGTCTGGGGGCCAGGGGTGGAGGACAATCAGGGCTTGAGCACACACCCAGCGTCGGTGTGAGGAGGGGGGAGGAAGTCAGCCAGCCAGAAAGTTGTCGATAAAAAACAAAATTATCCTCTAGCAAAACTACTTTTTAATTTTAAAAAGCTGTATGTGATTTTAAATTTAGTAGAATGAAAAGAAACTATTTGTTGAATTTCAGCCATGTTTCTTTATTATTAACATAAGAGGTATTCCTAAAATATCCTTGTAAGTCAGGAAAAGAGGTTACGACACATATTCACAGTGCATATACTTTTTTCATACAAGTTTCAGTTTTAAGCACGATCTCCTGAGTGTGTACCAGTTTGAGAGCGTTGCCTCTTGCCTTTACAACTGAATGACATCGTAGTTGTGTCGATTTGG